ACACATTAAAATTCCGTATTGTCAAATAATGGTATGAGATACCTCAGCTCCTCCAAACACAGTGCATGAGATGCTCAGAATATCAGCCTTTCAGATAACTATGCCTAAAAGAGTGGAACAGCAAACTTTGCCATCCTCCTACTTAGAGGCCACTAATAATAATAAAGGCTTACTCTACAGGTCTGTTGCAGCAGATGCAGCTGGACCAGATACCCCCACCTATGCTCCACAAAAGCTGGCAAGCTCTGTGTCTTCTTCTCTCCAAACAGTAACATATGTAACATATCCAAAGGACTTTCTTCATCTGCCCTCATCACCAGCACAAGCAGCCACTACTGAAATTTGATGACTTTTCTTCAACAGGTAAGAATTGCTGATGCAACAGTATCAACAGAAGGAAATGAAAACCTACAACTTTGTGGTCAGCGATTAAGGATTGAAAGAGCACAAACAGGCTTAACTAGTTTCAATCTTTGCATCCATTTGCAGAAATCAGATGAGTTCTTAAAAGCGCAAATGAACAAGGATCAAGAACAGCGTAGTTCAAAAAGGAGACATAATTGGACAGCAATGGAAAACACATTTTCACTAGCAAATTCTGGTAGCACTGGTCCTCTCTGTAAAAGGAGCCCAAACAATGTTTACAAGCAGACTTCTTGAAGAGTAAAAAAATCTCTATTTCAACACTTGCTCACGCAGTCTCTAATTTTCAGACTAGCACAAGCAAACGCTTCCAGCTGGAGATAAGGCACCACACAGAAGACAGATACACTGTACTGAGACTGTCCAGCCAAAACGGAGAAAGATTGAAGAACTGTCATCACATAAATGGCTAGATGTGTTTTCCAACTGAAGAAAGCCAGAACAGTGGTCTTGTATAGCATTTACAAAATTCAGTTATCATAAGGCTTTAACATGTTTTCCAGGAAAACTATATCTGGCCTTGAGGGTTGGAAGAGAAAGCAGAAGCAGGCAAGACAGCAAGCAGACAACTTGGTGAAGGCAGCATATGGCAAAACAAGTTACCTACCAACATGAAGGAAAAAAAGTTCATAGCAATGACCTCTTTGAGGAACTGTGCTGTTTTTACACCAAAGCTAAGCAATCTTTCCAATATCAGACCTTATTTCTGTGTTAAAAAAGAAAATTTATCAAATTACGTGCCAGAAAGCCCATAGACACCACAATGATTTCAGATATTGGCACATTACAGTGCAACTGCCACATACACATTTGACAGCTCTCCATGTTTTATGATATGACTCAGTGATGCATCTGAGTGAAAAGCATTCCTAGCACTGAACACAAAGCAAAACAATCCAGATAGTCATCTGTGAACTAGTCACAAGTTTTAAAGAGAAAAAAAAAACGTGAATCTGTGTTGGATACGCTGAAATGATCTTAAACTCACTGCAGGCTTACCACACTGCCATGTTTTTCTAAACAGCGTTGGCTGTAGTACTGCATGGATAACTACACCACAGTGCCTAGAATAGTCTCAGGAGAGGCTCCTGGGAGATTTTTGGTAGGGTAACAGTTCTGCAATTACAGCAGCCTGCAAACACCACTCAAGTATAAATATCAGCTTTGAGATGTCAGTAGTAGAGCTCCAGTCCTTCACTGATCACTCTAGGTACTACTACACTGGCTGCCTCAGAAGATCATCATGATCACCTGCTGAAATGGAAGGAAGCAAAAGCTCGCTCAGCTTAACATCCCACACAAAAATTATTCAGGAACCCACACCACAAAGCTCTGGGAGAGGTAAAAGGAGGTGGGGTGAAATAGTAAAGAACAAAACACATTCACAAGTAAGCAGTTTGCTATAGCTTAAAGATACCAGAAAAGGAACCTCAGCCACACATGGGGTAAGATTTGAGGAACACTCTCAGTTATTAAAATCATGAGTTGGCAGAGGGAGGAGCAGTTTCAGCTCACCTGTGCCTGAGCCACCAAACAGTAGTGTTGGCTGAACAAGTTCTCAGACCTGTGGAAAGCCTTATCTGCTCTACTTAAAACAGACAAACCTGTTCAAGTACCTCTGCATGAATGCTTAATCGGGGAGGTTAAACCAGTTCTTAACTACAGCCACCTTCTCTAGCACAATGGAAGAGAGTGGCCACCTGAGGTATGCATAAACTGTAATTAAGACAACTCTGTTTTCCCTTCTAAATGAGTGGTTTCCTGAGAATCATCACAGGACTTGGGAGAAAATCCAGGCAAAAACAAACAAACAAACAAACAAAAAAACCAACTTGCTCATACAACTAGTTTCACTGAGGACTAAAAAAAATTTTGCCCCTTTTTTTTTTTCCTCAAGTTCCGTGTTTTGGAAGAAACAAAGGCCACCTTTCTTCTTCACTTTTTTTTTTTGTTTTGTTGGTGGTTTTTTTTGTCTTTTTTTTTTTTTTTTTTTAAACTGAGACAGCTTCAAATCTACAGTTACACAGAAATACTGAAATAGTAAAAGTAACCCTAATCCCATGCATTTATTCAGTCAGAAAATGCACTAATTTTAATGCTTTTAGATAAGGATTTACTAATACTTCGCTCACCAAAAAATAAGGAGCTGACTTCTTGCTTAGCTCAATGGGAAAGGTTGGAAACATAAAGGGATCTGCACAAACCATTACTACAGACTCCACTAGACAAGCACACAGTTTAAGGACCAAATATCATAAGTGCAAACTACTGCTCAAATCTGTCATGACCACATGACTGAGTGGTAACTCCTATACAGATACTAACCCCCATGAATGGCTTAACATTTCAAAGAAATTGAAAATTTTCAATGTTAACAATGAAGTTTGGTGATTGACACAACTGAATTGCTAACTGGCAACCTTAAACACAGCAAAGAAAAAATTACCAGCTGGTTCCACTGGTTTTTAGAATAATCCAAGACAAATCAACATTAGCTTTACTGATGTGCAGCAGACTTCTGTCCCAGCTTTGTCTGGGATACAGTGTACTTCGGATTTAAAGACGAGAATAGTGTCGATAGCACACCTACACTTGAGCTGCTGCACAGCAGGGCTTACACTAAGTCAAGGACACTTCAGCTCCCCTCCACCGAGGAGGTTGGGAGGGGGTCACAAGGAGCTGGGAGGGAACACCACCAGAACAGCTGCCTCACCCTAGCCAAAGAGATGCCCCGTAACACACGGTATCGTGCCGAACAACAAAACCAAGGGGAGTTGGCTGATGGGCAGCCATTGCTCAGGGACTGAGTGGACCCTGGTTGGCAAGTGATGAGCAACTGCATTGTGCATCATTTTTCTGTATATTCTTCTATCACAGTTAAGTTGTTTGTCCTCCCTTTTCTGTCCCACTTAACTGTCGTTACATCAATCCACGAGTTTTGTTTTGTTGTTTTTTTCTTTCTGATTTTCTTTCCCATAGCATCGGCAGGGAGTGAACACCTGATGGGTTAAACCTCCCCAGCTGTCCTCCTCTTTGCAGACAAGAACTGCTAACTCTGATTTATATCAAGAGTAACCCAGCCTCCATTGGATCTGAACGCATGGAAGTGTTGACAAGACAGGCCTTCAGAAAACATATATGTGTTTAGATCACGTTTGGTTGTAGAAAGAATTATTGCAGGGAGGAGGAAAGCAGCCAATGCCTTATTTCTCTGTGTTCTGTCTTCCCCCTTACTGGCATTTTCTCAAGTCTATTTTGCCAGACTATGACTGGGTAATAGGAAAGATCAACACTCCACATTACTCCTACTGGACCAACAAGAGAAAATTCTATCTCTTTGACAGAAAATCCTGCAGCAGCTCACATGTTTAGGTAGGGCAGCCTCATGCTTAGAAGTAAAGATCTCATCTACTGGTTACCTGGAAATCTGGGGAGTTACAGCGGCATTGGGAATGTGGGCACCTGCTAGGCGTGCTTCTAAGCTTATGCTTTTCTCAGAGGCACAGCTGCTCTATCGCCACAGAGAACCAGAAGCACGTATCCGATAGGTGAAAACAGATGCTGGCAACGCATGTGAACAGATCTTCTCCCATGACCCCAAAGGCCTTCCTCATCCTTCTGGTGCTGAATCCTTCTCTGCTAGGACTCACACACGTCTACTTCCTTAAATCCTACCAGCAAGAGGACTTCCACATCCAGCATCTGAGAAAGAGCAAGGGGAGCCAAAAGCAGGATATGTGACCAACCACTGCAAAAATACAAAGACTGGCAAGGATGCAAAGGAAGTAAACCAAAACTGAGATACCTCCGACCGCATACAGTGGCGATTGGTGCAGCCAGGTATTGCACATAGATCCTTCCCCAAATTCTCAGCCTCCTGCCCTTTCCAGGCCGCCTGCTCACTTCTAACAGCCGTACTTCCATTGCTCTCCTCCTTTAATTTCAGAGACACATATCCTATTGTTTCCCAAGTAACCTGTCACCATCGTAGCCACATTCAGCTCTGACTTTACACAATCTAAACTGAAGGCAGATTTCAGCCATCACCTCTAACAGCTTCACACAGAGGTTATTCCCATGGCAGCGCAGGGAGGAAACCCACTGACCCCAATGCTTCCCAACCACAGAAATACAGCATCGTAGGTGTGCTACAACCACACTCCGTGCAGCTGCAGACCCAAGGCCAACATCCCCTACAATCAACAGAAAAAGGCAATCCTTAGGATGAGTCCATTATATCTCTGACCTCCCGAATCCCTGCGACTGGGGCTAAAGCATCGCTTAGGAATACGAGAAGAAACGCAGACGGACAGAAAGCCGTAGGCCGGCCAGGCGGCCCGGGCTCTGCACCGAGCTCGTCCGCACGGAGCCGGGCACCTGCCCGCCGCAGGCCCCACTCCCTCCGCCGTGCCGGTGGCGGCGCCACGGGGCGCCGGCTCCTTTGTTACCGCGGTGCGGATACAGAGCATGAAGGCAGGGCCGCAGCGCTCGGGCCGGGGCGCGGCCAGCAGAGGAAAGCGGAGGCCGGGGCCGGGGCCGGAGCCGCGGCCCGTGGCTCGGGCGCGTCGGGCACTCACCCAAGTGAGGAGACTCTCGCCCAGCTCGGCCCGCTCCAGGCTCTCCACGTTGAACATATCGGGGCGCTGCCCGGCGCGGTGCTGCCGGCGCTCCCTCCCTGCCACCCCTCGTCTACCGTTGACCCGTCGCGGCTGGGCCGCCGCGCGGACACGTCACTACGGCCCGGCGGCACCGCCCGCCCGCGCCTGCGCCCTGCGCCCGCCTCTCCTCCCTTCTCCTCTCCTTTCCTCTCCTCGCCTCGCCGCACCGCGACGCTGCTGCCGGGGGGCGGGGCGGCGGCCGGCGGGCAGCGCGGCGCTCCCGGAGCTGAGGTACCGCCGGCGCGACCCCGCCGCCGGGAGGGTGCCGGCCTTGGGGGGGTGGTCGGGCGCGCGCAGCCGGGCGGGACGCGGCAAAGGCCGAGCGGGGCCCGGCGGCAGAGCTCAGCCCCTCGGCTGGGCACTGACGGGGGCGGAGGGCCGCGGCCTTCGGCGGGCTGAGATGGGGCTGCGGCCGGCAGCGCGCGGCGTTTGCAGTTCGCTTCCCCTCTCCGTGCCGGGAATAACGAGAAGCGCCAGCTTTTGCCGGTGGACGGACACGCAGCGGGGCTTCTAGTCTTGCTGTTCGCTGCAGGTGTGAGCTTGCGTGCAGAAGCACTGCTGTCTACAGTAAGGAGTTGTTGAGCTTTTTTTTTTCTTTTTTTTTCTTTTTTTTTCTTGGAAAGTAAAGAAATGAAAAGCTCTTTTGGCCTCGATTTGAGTATTGCCATATCGCACTGAGCATTATTATACTGCTTCACCTCCCTGCCTGCCTGCCCAGAAGTCACCCAGCTGAAGGCGCTTTCACGTGGCCCCGCCCGCACGCAGTGTTGGGGGTGGATGGGAGCTCTGGAGATCATCCAGTCTGACGCCCTGCTTAAACAGGTTCCCTGCAGCAGAACGCACAGGAAAGTGTCCAAATGGGTCTTGAATATCTCCAGAGGAGATTCTGTGCACAGCATGTTCTGCTGCTCTGTGGCTTTGAAGTTAAGGGAGTGCTCTGCCTGCACATTACTTCAGTTCTGCACTCCATGTCTTTATAGCCCTGTTCCTTTATAAGCCTTGAACCTCCGTCTGTTCAAGCCTTATGGAAGAGTTGAGAACTCATTTGGGGCCTGTTCTACACAGGCCACGCACCATCCAGACAGATACCCCAAGCAGAAATGCTGCACGTATCATGCCTTTGTCTTTTTCTTCAAGCCATCAACAGTTGCAGGCTGACAAAAAAAAACGAGACTTACACATTGGAGTATTTTGCCTTGTGGAATGTGCTTCTGAAGGGTTGCATCCTTAGTGATTCTAACTTGCATGATTCCATTCAGCCTGGAGAAGAGAAGGCTGTGAGGTGACCTGATAGAGACCTTTCAGTGTCTAAAGGGGAACTACAGGATAGAAGGGGACAGTCTCTTTCTGTGGTTTGTGGTGGTAGAACAAGGGGAAATGGTTTCAAGCTCAAAAAGGGTAGATTTAGGTTAGGTATAAGGAAAAAATCTTTCCCAGTGAGGATAATGAGGCACTGGAACAGGTTACCTAGTGTTACGATTGATGCCCCATCTATGGAGACATTCAAGGCAAGGTTGGATCAGGCTCTGCACAACCAGATCTGATTGTGGTGTCCCTATTCATTGCAGGGGAGTTGGTCTAGATAACCTTCAGAGGTCCCTTCCAACTCTAAGGATTCTATGATTCTATTATGTGATTAGGAGAAGCAGAATACCTGTTTTCTTTTATTTTTTTTTTGGTTGTCACACAGAGGTTGCTGTTCTCCAGCCCTGCAGAGAACTGCTCTGTCAGGCAAGCATGTTGGTGAGGCAGATCTTTATACTGAAGAAATGTTATCCCGTGCTGAAATGGCCCTGCCCTGTTATGGCTTTGTAGTAAATCTAACAGGACTGTTTACATTTTTATTTTTCTCTTCTGCAGTGAGTGTGTGTGCACATGAACATATTCAGCTATAATTTGCTCAGTCAGCTATTCTGATTTCTGACTCCAAAGTAGCTTATAACTCATAGCAATACTGTATGAATAGATTGCATGAAGTCCTAGTAAAATATTACCAAGTCTGTTTTAACATTCTCACAGTTTGTATCTTGTTAATTCGTATGCTGCTTTATTTTATTTTTTATTTCCCATATTACACATGCCCTTTGGTTTCTGATATTAAAACTGATGGAGATACATATCACTGGGGGTTGTGTGCTTTATGCAAGTAAGAATTCGATCACAAAAATGAAGTAAACCCTGCTTTGTCAAAAAAAACATTTTCTAAGTATACCCACTGCCATTACCCATTTCTCTGCTAAAAGGTTGTATGTTTATTGTCTGCACTGCTGCCTCAAAGACCAACTTTGAGCACACCTTCAGTGCTGCTTGTACATTCCCTCTTGCTCATCATTCGTGCTGAAAGCATGCCATTGTTATGGTCTCTGAATGCACTCTCGGCATACCCTTCAATCTTGCATGAAGGAAAGTAACTGTAGAATCCATTAGCAAAATTTCCGTTCTGAACCAAACAGTGGTGTCAGGTCCCACCTGTATTTTTTGCTGGTCCTTCACAAATGATCAGAGCACACTAATACCACAAAGTAGAAAATAGGCAACTTCCAACAGGAAAGATCTCAATAGAAGGGCTGCTACAGAATAAACCTGCCCCTTTTTAGTGTGCTTAAGTTGATTTCTGTTACCTAAAGTAGGTCACTTAGGAGGAACATGCTGTCACAAATGAAACCAATTTATACTCATTCCCTTATCTTGTGAGGACTCAGTTTAGGACTTAGGACTCGAGGACAGGTCTTTTTGGTGTTTAAAAAAATGAGAATTGAATTGCAAGAGTGATCGGTACTTATGAATACTACAGTTTTGTAAGCCTGCCTTTCTCAGTAGTATTTTCCTGGTTAGGAGGTCATTTATCCTGGAGAACTCATAGCCTCGCCAAAGTGAGAAACATCTCTAAGGAAATGAAGTAATGGTTCTGCTAGTAAAAGACATTAGCCAAAATGTATTATAATTTCCTGCATATGCTTTGGCCTCCTCCCCTATCTTCATCTTTCACTTTTTCATATTTTGAGCACTGTTGGTGGCTGTCAGTATTGCAACAGAAGTAGCACTGAACTAAAGTAGGTTATTCTTAGTCAGTTGCCCCTCAGCCCATCCTTGAAAGGACATGTTGTTATCAAAAATATTTTTCAGATGCTGAGCAAATTGCAGCCTTCTCTCCAAGTCTGTGTCACTCTTGGTTGCTAATCGGTATTTCACGGCAGTACTGCATCTATATTATCTTATTGTTTTCTTCTCTGAGGTGAAGAGAGCCTCTTTGTTCCTTAGGCTTATGTCCTCCTTTGGTGGTAGATCCTAAGATCTTAGTCTTTCCAAGAGTATATCAGCATATGGTGATATACTTGCTGAACTTGGAATATACAAATCTTATAGCTGTGGGGATATTCTGACTTTGGGTAGCTAGCAGCAAGTACTTAATACATCATGGCAAAGTTGGTTTTTGTTTGTATGCAAGTTATGGCATGACTATTGCTCTTACTGTGCTGTATGTAGTACGTCAGAGTCTCATAAGGAAACAGTGATGTATCCACAGCAGTGTGGGGTCTTCATGCCCTCATATGTCAGTATTATCAGTATGAGTTTTCAATAATAATATTGCCACAAACGTAATGTTACTTCTTGCAGTTCTCTTTTTTTTTCCACATGAAGTTGTATCTGTTGCTCAACCTAACCATGAAATGGGAAAATTGCTATTGGAAGCGCAAACAAAACACTTTTGCTTTCTGTCTGTAATCTGTCTCAGCAAAACTCGGGAAAAGCAAAGCTATTATGTGTTCAGGTGAGTAGTATGAAATGTTTCTTACCAGCATAAATTCCATCCCTTTCTATTTTGAAGTGTTCTGTGACCAGCTGAATCTGTTTGAGGTTATTTACATTCTGTAGCCATACAGAATCCTGGGTCGCGTAAATCTGCACTGTGCTGCAGAGTCCCGCTGTTATTTAGTGAGGCCAAGGAGTGGAGCAGTAATTGCTTGTCCGTTTTACTTACTGGGCAGTTGAGCTAGTTTGCCTTGTGCAAGTGCTTGAACATGAGCTGAAAATTAAGAGTTTTTGTTGTTCTTGTCATTTTCTACCTTGCAAGTTTTTGTTGGTTTTTTAAACTTTGCAACTATGCTGTTGTCATTCCTGTTGCCATTCAAGTTGATGGTATGAATTCCAATTTAGATAGGAGGTTTTTTTTTTTTTTTTTTTTTTTTTTTCCTTTAATTGGAAGGCAGGGTGAGGTTATGCTTTCTTTTCAGAAAGCCACTTTCCTGCTGACTGGTTAAAAAGAGAAAAAAAATCATTAATCTAAACAAAGATCAACTCTTAGAATGTAATCTGTTTCTTACTACTTGCTTCTTTAACTGAAGTCATTGTGTTGTTGTGGAGCTTTTCTTAAAAAGCTAGAATGGACTAGAATTAATTTTTTGTGTGAAAGAAGTACAGCATCAAAACTTTGACATCATCTTTGTAATAATTAAACAAAAAAATTAGTAGAAATCTATATAGAGACAAATAAACAACTTTAAAATTATTTAATGTCTGTGGTCTCCAAGGCCAATCTGAGAAAGCTGAGAAAATAGTTATTTTTGGATAATCATCCAAATAGGATGGATCAAGTTAAACAGATTGAACGAAATATTTTATAGAAGTAGCATCAAGTTTCTGTTGTATGACATCCAATTATTACTGCATAATATTTTATGAGAGATTAGGTGTCTTTGCTAGTGTCAGGTTCTACAAGTCTTCCCTGAGATACACTTAGTCCATGTCAGTGCTGGTTGTCACTGAGGACAATTTCATTACATCGCTTAATGTTAAGTCTTACGAGCTAAGGTTGTTGTTCAGTTTTTTATTGTGCTGGTTCCTGCTAGGCTCTTGCACTGGAAAACCAGATTCCATAGCAGCAGTTGGAGGGCTATTAGCATGCAGAGCACCATGAATTTGTTTGTGTGCTATTGTGGTTGCACTTGAGGAAATGTAAACTGCAAGCTTGCAGTTCTGTATATTCTGTTGGAAAATGTTACAAGCGGACTTAAGATCAGAAAATTCCTTTCTCCTTCAGTCAGACAATTTTCAAATAGTTTATTTCAGTAGTGTTCTCTTTGGGACCATTGTTGGGTCTTTGTTTTGTTTTGTTTTTTGCATACTCACCCGGGCAATTAAAGCCAGGCTGTGAAGGCATCTATGTGTCTCACTGCCACGGTGTGCATTTCTGAAAAATTGCTTGGAAATCAATAGGATGCAGCTATTGTTAGCACGCTGGTCTGTTCTGACAGAGCTGTTTTATGACTGTGGACCAGTTCCTCGCCAGTTATTTCTGCAGGTGCATGGAGCAAACAACCCGGGAATGACAATGTGACGTAGTTAAGGTTAGTGCAGAGATGGTGGTGCTTAAGGAGAGACAGTGTAGGAGCTGAAAATAGCAGCATTCTCCCTCAGATGCAACTGTGAAAAATGAATGTCCCAGAATGAGGAATTGTAAGAGAGAGAAACTTCAAGACTGATGATGAGAAAAAAGTGCACAGTTTGGGAATGTCGAGCTGGGGAGGCATTGCCGCATGCCAGGAAATTAGGCTCGGAAGATTTCCACAGCAGCTTAGCATTGTAGCTTTAACAAAAGCTATATCATTGTGTAACAAGGTATACAGCACCATGCTGTAGCTCTTTGTGTAGTTTGTTGTTTCTGTGTAAGACCTTTCCAGGGATATCTGGTCTTTTGTTCATTAGTATATATGAAATCTGTGTCAATATTGACCTACTTCAGTCATGGCTCTTCATGAGTCTGTGGTATTCTGTGTTTAGAAAAACCTACTCTTTCCAAATGTGAATTGGCATTTCAGTAGCTAGACTGTGACAGTTGTGTGTGAGAAGCTGCATGTGTCACAGTTCAGGCTGAGGCACACGTTAAGCAAATGTAGCTTATCGTTTTACCTTATATATGCTTCATTATTTCATTTTGTTTTCCACAGTGGAAGTCCAAAAATAAAAGAACAATGAAAGGAATCTGCCCTTCGTTCTCAGTGTTTTCTCTGCTCTTATGGTACTTAATTATATCACTTACCCCTTTTATAGTAATGTTAGAATATACTGGTTTCCCTTGCCTTACTGCTGCAGAGGTAGTTCCCACAACTAAGCTCCACGATTCGTACAGGAATGGATCTGTGGAGCAAAACCAGTCATCTTACGGAGAAGATGACATCTTATGTTAGTGTAGACTGGCATGTTGAAATTTTGTCAGGATTGCATATTACAATTGTGCATTAAAATCCCCATAACTTGAAAAATTCTCTTTCATTTTTGTACGTAATTCAGAGCTAGGTAATGTCTTTTGTAGCAGTATTTGTTAGACAGCAAGGTTCAAATTTGACAGTGACATATGAGCTGTGAACTAGTGTGATACTCTAATGAAAGCTTGCAGGCTTAAGGCACCCACACAGGAATAGAAAGTGAAGTAAATGATGCCAGTCTTCCCTGACCTCATAAACTGATGCTGATATTTTACATCAGTTCTGAATGGGAATACTCCAGCTATGTAAGGACACAGCTTAAATACAACATTTTTTTGTTACTTTTACCAGACTTAGCTTCATTCTTCTGATTTCATAGTATTCACAGCTGCAGTTCATTTCACTTCCTGGTTGCAGCAGGAGTGATTTAGAAGTATGTTGCAGACTGTTTTATGTTGCTTGTTTCTTGAGCTGTAGGTAATGAATGTTAGTGCTGGCAAGTCATTCTGTTTTGCATATGCAAAATAAATTTAAAACAAACAAGTCTGACCAGGGAAGACTGAAAATACCCTTTTGTTTTCAGGCTTTCCTCATGTTTCTCTCTGAAAGGTAAGGCATAGAAGAGATAGATAAAATACGGAATTCATCAGATGTTTTATGTGTATACAGTTGGACATTTAATACTGCAGTATATTGTCTTTCCTTAGCAGCAGTCATGTGTTATGCAATAGCAAAAATTCTTGATAATGTAGAACCATACTTTTTATAAACAAGATTGTGGTTAGAATATGTCAAATGCGGTAGGATGTCCTGTCCTTAATGTGTTTTGTAAAGGTTTACAGGTAAGGTATTTGATTGATGTTTCAAAAAAAGTCTTTAGATTGCAACGCAGTCATTAAGACTTGCTTACTGGTGTACAAAACAAATGTTTTGTAGTCCTTTGCAGCAAGCTCTATTAGGTAAAATGCATGTTTTATCTTTTTTTTTTACTGTTTTTTCCCAGCAGTTGGTTTTTTTCTTCAAGAATTTGTGTGTAAACAGATACATGCATATATATTACTTGTAACTGTTTAATAATATACGTGTGTATGCGTATGTGTATCTCTAGATATTCAGTATACATATATATTTCTTTTTGCATTTTAGAGCTGTGATGGACAGTCACCAGGCAGAAGTTCAGAGTTTGAAGCTAGATAATGATTCAGTTATAGAAGGAATAAGTGACCAGGTACTGGTGGCAGTTGTGCTCAGTTTCACTTTCATTGCTGCTCTGATATATACGCTTTTCAGGTGAGAATATGTTGATAGGAATTGATCAACATGCTTGGGTTTGTCAAATTCTAACTTTCTCAACAAATTGAAAAATATACGACACTTATCTTGTGACATAAAGGAAATGATTATTTGATCATTTACTCTGCTTAACCAGTTGCTCGGTCGAGTTCATAATTTAATTCAAAGTTAGAGTTAAATGATGAATTTCTCAAAACTCAAGTCTAATATTTCTATATGTTCATCATTCTTTATTACTGAAAATAAATTCACAAACTGGTTGGTGTGTTGTATTTCATTACTAAGTAGAGATTTATTAATAATGACTCCACAATTAAGGCTGAATATTATCCTTCAATGCACATTCTAGTTGAATTCTCATAAATAAGTAGGCTGATTTATTTATTTATGAGAATATTTGGAAAACAATGGATTTTAATAGACTTTCTGTGAAAGAAAAGGCTAAGTCCAGAATGAAAGAACTTTAAAGGTCAAGTAATCAAACCTTACTTGTAGTTCCAGAGTTTTTCCTAACAACCTAACAAACATTTTAGCCTGTGTGTTTTTGGGAAGATAAATCTGAGCTTCAGACTGGCTTTTTACTGATTTTAGTCTGTTTTTTATTGCATGTCTGTAGAGTTATGAATACAAAGGCAATTTTAACGTTTTAGAGAACCGAATGTTAGTTAGATGAATTGGCATTAGGAAACTTACTGAGGAGGACCTGTCTGTATGAGAAGTACTGGTAAGGTAGGGTGTGTTTGAGAGCGTGCCAGGAAAGACACCAGGAGCTGAAAAGCTTAGGTAAAATGCAGGGCAGTGCTGCGGTTCACAAGCAGGAACTTTAGAGAAATTAACACACATCCATGTGCTTTTCCTGCTGAGGCTGTTTCAGATATTTAAATGACACAACAGTGCTTCTCTTCCCTCAGGAGTCCTCCCTATCTTGTGCTTCTGTTATCTCTTATGTTATTCTTAGCACATGTGACTTGAATTCGAAGTTTTCCATTAAGGTTTAAAAACAAAATGTTTACTATTTATAATGGAAGGTAAGTTAAGACAGAAAAAAAAAAAAGTGAGCAAAATAAGGTTGGTCAGCATTGGGCAAGGGCAATGGAAGTTTACTTAGTATTAGTATTCAGGAAGATGATACACTGATGATGGAGGGCTGTGCAGGAAGCAGGGGGAGGATTTGGTACTTTCTACCTGAATCAGATTTTCTGTGGATCCTGATACATGCCCTGCTGGTTTGTTTTCTAGAATGGTGAACAAATTCGAGCAAAAAGTTCCCGTATTTTAAAAGTCTACAAATCAGTTTATTTCTGCATGATAAAACTGGCTGCTATAGGTCTTGTCAGCATCATCTTAGATATACGCTTTGCCTTCTGTAGCCTCTGAATGTTGTCTGTATTAAGCAGTGTTTTTCTCTGAAATTCTTTGTGTTGTCTCCATCAAAATCTGTGCGTTATAAAATCCCAACAGTACATGAAGTACAATAATATTTGGCAGTGGAGGAGAGACAGGAGACAGAAGGATTTTCTTATTTGTCCCTGATTATCTTTCTGTTTCCTATTCCATGTTTGTTGCCCCCATTGTCTTTGCTACCAATGTTAAGTTGGGTAGAAATAAGTCCTGAGCACGAATATGTGAAGGAAGCGTCTGGAGATCTGAAGGAAGCTTATGAGAGTGAATACAGTTGCAGGAAGTAAATAAAAAAATACTGGAGAAGGGAAAGCAGGCAGCATGGAGTCGTAAAACCGCAGAATATTTTGGATTTGAAGGGACCTTAAAGATGACCCAGTTCCAGCCCCTGCCATGGGCAGGGCTGCCCCCTACCAGCTCTTCCTGGCCTTGAACACTTCCAGGGATGGGGCACCAGAGCTTCTCTGGACAGCTGTGCCAGGGCCTCACCACCCTCTGAGTGAAGAAATTCCACCCAACATTCGTCTAAAATCTTCCCACTTTCACTTTAAAGCAGTTACACCTTTGTCCTGTCACTACATGCCCTTGCAAAAAGGGCTTGTTCCAGTAAATCTAGGGGGAGGCAAAAGTTGAATATGGAAAGAATTTTTAGGGGGTATTGCTACTCTCCTTCTTTACAGTGGAAAATTCAAGGAAGGATGACACTGGGGCAGGAGCTGAAAGTCTCTTTGCTTTTGGTTTTGAAACTTAATTACTGATATATATACCAATTTGCAGATGTTTGGGTCTGTTTCTGTAATGAACTTTTGTTGACCCTGTACGTTTTAGAGTTGCTCATTTAGATGAAATGCAGCCAGATTTTTACTGTCATCTTTTAAATATGTGGAGATCATCACATTGTAAATGAGTACTAAAGGTTTGATATAAAATGCGGTTAGTACTTTCAGCAGACATGAAGTCTTTATCCTTGGAGGAAAAAACAGCAGTAATGACAAACAAACAGTAATGGTGCCAGTCTGAACATCTCCTGTCCCTCACTTCCCCTGTGTGACAGCTCGCACTGAACAAATGGGCAGCCTTCCTCCTGGTAGTGGTAGTTTTGTGGGGCCCTTTGTAAGACATGGTGAAATCTTGCCACATTGTGAGATTTCTTTCCTCAAGTTATGGGGTCTAAAACTCAGAAGCAAGAAAAGTTGTTTACTTCTAACCTTATTTCTTTCTGACTTGTATTTAGCTAGGCAAATGTCTGTAGTTACATAGCACTACACTGTGTCTTATTCCAATTTTCAGTATTCCAATAATCCAGTATTACTTTTCAGAAAGGGTGGTCAGGCACTGGAACGGACTGCCCAGGGAGGTGGTGGAGTCACCGAGCCTGGGGGTGTTCAAGGAAAGGCTGGATGTTGTGTTGAGGGACATGGTTTAGTGGGAGCTATTGGGAATAGGTGAACGGTTGGACTGGGTGATCTTTCAGGTCTTTGCCAACCTAGGTGATCCTATGATTCTTTGATTCTATGAATTTATTTTCTCACACTAACAGCACAACAGAAGCTATGATTCCGATGTGTCATGAACACTGCCTGTCCCCTTCTGACATTGTGCAGTGTTGTGCCACTGAAGCATCTGATGCATAAGCAACAGATGCTCTACCTCTGTGCCTCCACGGTCACACACATTGAAGATAATATGTAATACCAGACTGAAGTCATGTATGTAAGTTATTTGTGCCAAGATGAAATGCAAGATATGCCCTGTTAATTACGGTTTGTCTGTTTTAGATAACACTGGTAACAAATCGGCAATTAGTTGTTTATGAGGGAATCGAGGTGAACTGGCTTGTAATTCACACAATCCAGTTACATGTGGTTTGCTTTGAATTTCAATGTGTATTAAACTTTTGACAAAACAAAGGTGCAATACATGCCAATTTGTAGGGTCCAAACAGTAAAATACTGATAAACATGTAACTTGAATTACAGACAACTTCCACAAGGTCAGACTTTTGAAGTGTAAGCATTTCATATAGTTTTCATTTTTCACTCACATTACTGCTAAATAAATGCAATTTTTGCAAATAATCACAGTTATTGTTAGCCTGAAAATACAGTTTTATTTCTATTCCTCTTTGAAGAAAGAATAAAGGAGAAAATGTCATAGCAGTAATGCAGTGCTGTAATTTCTTTCATCAAACGAAGGAAATATTGCAGATGGTCCTACAGCCACTGAGGAATTTTCATAAACAGATTCAGAAAAAGTTGTGAAAACTCAACCAGTGTAACCTTCAGCTCTGATACAGGATCAGACTGCCTAGGTCACTCCTGGAATCAGTATAACACATTCTTCAATTTAACTTTTAGCAAGACATAGCTCACAGTACCCTGAGGTAATCTTGTCTGATTTGGTACACTTTGTAGTTTGAAATGGTTTACCACCAACCTTTAGGTAACGGTGGAAAATAATTACTCATACCTGTTAGATTGAAAGATTTATCTTGTCTCCTCTCCATAAACAGTCTCCCATACAAGGTCCCATTTCTTCTGCTTTTCTCTAACATTTTACAAACGTCAACATTATCGATCTTATCATTCTCTTCTGACCTTCCTCTAACTTTCCTACATCTTTTTATGCATTTTGCTCAAAATGGAAGACACAACCCATCTGAGACCTCTACAGTGCTGAGCAGTTAAATCCATGTGGATAAATAAAACAATGTTGTTGACTCATATTTTTTGTAACTCAACACCTCTTAATGTTGTCAGTACCATGTCTAATTCCAATCCCATTCCTGTTGTGCTTTTGAATTTTAATATATCCAGCCTCCTTTCTTCAGTGAGTGTCTTCCCTCACATTCCTCTTTATTTTGATGTTTCTAACCTGTAGTCTTCTTGCCAGTAGAGTCTGCAGAGATTTCTTTTTATAGCCAATCTGCTGATAGTTACGTAAAGTCAACATTCTAAAGCAAATTTGCCTACCCTTCTTATGTAAATGTGGATTCATCTTTTGTGTAGCAGATAAACCTGAAGTAGTTCAGGTTTTTCAGTCCATGATAAATTATGTAGTAAGTAGGGGGAAGGAATTTACAAGTAATCCAGCAGTACAAAAATGAGAAATCAAGACAGTTTTTCTGCATGATGAATATTAAATCTTTCAAGCAGCTTGATTTTATTTTATTTTATTTTATTTTATTTTATTTTATTTTATTTTATTTTTTGGCAGGCTGATGGAATAATTTTTCAGATCAAAATTGAGTTTTAATGTGGGTTATTAATTGATTATGGAAACTTAGAAAAATTTTGCTGCTGTACAGCTTGCTGGCCAGAGTTACTTTAGAATCTACAGTAATTGTCCTTTTTCTTTAATTATTTGTGTACTTCCTTTAAAATGCCTTCTTGCAGGAAATAATTGTTTTTTCTCTTTTGTTCAAGTCATTTTTTTCAGTCAGTTATTTTTCAGTGTTGGTTCACAGTGTTTGTATTTCTTACTGCTTATATTTCCTTTCACAGAAATGAACACCAGAACATACATCCAGAAAATCAAGAGCTAGTACGAGCTCTTCGTCAGCAGCTTCAAACTGAACAGGTGCTTTGCTGAGCGTTGGAATCATTCTCAGTCTGGTTTGGGGTAGGCTTCTCTCCAAGGTTCTGGAAAAAGCTGGTCTTGGGAATCTTTGAATCTGGTTTACTGTACGGAGGCAACCTTAAAACTGATCAAACAATGAGATGATGTGGGGTTTTTTTTATGGGTACGTCAAGTCATTACAAGATGTAACTGGTTCTAATTTCAAGACAGCTTTTGCCACAAGGTGGAGTATGTTAGGTTATGTTGTGTGGTTCCTGCAGTGCTCCTGGGAATTTGGTGGTGAAGAAAAGGAAATCTGGAGAACAACTTGCTGCCATAGGACAATGCTCAGATGATTAAAAGGACAAGTTGTGTAGCAGAACAATGGTACATCAGCCAGAGCAGTCAGAGCAAGGCAACAGGGTTTGCACACAATTCTGGCATGCAGATGAGAGGCTAACGTGTAGCCACATTATTAGCAGTTGCTGAGGCCCAAACCTAGAGTGAGAGAAGCCATACTTATGGGAGAATGTTCAGGAGAGTCTTCAATCATTCATGAAATAATAACAGATTTTTTTTTACGAGAGTACATTTTTAAGTAGAGGAAGCACACAACAAATTGGGAAGGAAAAAACAGGTCATAGCAGTGATGAACACAAGCTGGTGTCAGTGTTTGAGAACCCTAAATTGTGCAGTTGGTAAGCAGTGCAGTTCAAGTGTCTGATTTGGGACAAAGCTAATTAGAAAAATAGGTGGACCTGAGTTGATATCAGTGCTTCAGTATGCCTTGCCTTATGTATTCTACTTAGTGTGGAGGACCTGAAGGCTTCTACCTTTCTGATCTTTAACTGGATTGAAGCTCTTACATATGTAACAGGTGAAGGGTAAAGTAATGTGCTTGTCACCAGAAGAACATGCTTAGTGAAACAGTTTTTGCATTTAAACGTATTTGATTTTTTTTTAATTTAAATTTAGTTAGGTTTTATTTGGTTTTGCATATTTGAATATTCAACTTACAGGGTTTTTTGTTTGTTTGTTTTGTTGGTTTTTTTTTTAATTTAAGTTCAGTGGAATTATTATGTAATAAATAGTATCTCTGGCATTTCCTATTTCTCTTCTGTCCCAGCAGGATGCTTCTAATGGTGACAGACATCGCTTCTATACAGACATGTCTTGTCCAGTCTGTTTGCAACAAGCAACGTTTCCCATAGAAACAAACTGTGGGCATCTCTTCTGTGGTAAGTTGGAAAACCTCCGACTCCCAAAGATAAAACTAGAACAGAAGCAGAAACTTCTGGCAGTCGTACTGTCACCCCAATGGAAAGCTGTGCTGGATTTTAACTGCTTATCTTCACATCTGTGTTAAAAATAATTTTTATGTAATTTGTTCATAAAATGCATTTTAAGAACTAGTTGCTTCCAGAATGTGCTAGATTTTTTTCTATGCTATCAAAATTAAAAATGCATTTAAAAGCATTGTGGACAAAGAGTATCATTTATTTCCTGCTACTGAAAAACAGCAGGGATTGAAATACATTTGGAAAGGTACCATTTTAAAAACTAGCTTAGAAAAAATAAAAAAAAATCTTATTGGACTTATCATCACAGAGTATTTTGTTTGTTTGTTTTGTAGAAGTCCTGTAGAATTACCATTAGCTTAAAATGCTTAAAATATTCGCCTGTCTTTGATGCCCAGTTGTTTGAATTGAGAAATGCACATATAAAAGCTCTATTTTGCTTCTTCTCCCTCAGTTCTCCCAATAGAATTATTTCACTGCAGTTGTCTAGTTTTACAGTGTATATAATGCTTGGTTGTAGGAAAAAAAATCACATATAAGGAAAAGAGTAAAAGAAAACAGATTTTCATATATTTTTTTCACCCATTAAAGCTCTGATATTAAAGCCAGGTTTTCAGGATGAATTTCTCGTGTCTTGATATTTTTATTATTTCTAACTTTTCAATTCTTAACAGTTTTAATTATTTGTTTTCTGAACTAATAGTTAAGGCATTTTCTGTTTTTTCAGAAAACAATATCTTAAAATTTATGATGATTCAGAACCTGTTCAGGATTTTTCTGATTAACAGTGGTGAATTTGAATGCATCTGTTCTTGGTATCTTCACTGAACAGTCTATTGAAAATCACACATCTCTGTTGTTTTGCTGATGCTTAACGTATCATTTCATGCAATTATGTTTTAACTCATAAGTGTCAATATCTGCAATTTATGTGTGTCAGGTTCCTGCATCATTGCATACTGGAGATATGGATCATGGCTTGGTGCCATCCGTTGTCCAATCTGCAGACAAACGGTAATGTTTTAAGTAATCCTGGGCCTTATGGTTTAGCAACCTAGTGCAACTTACCTAGTGCAGTACTTATATTTGAGCTGCCTTATTAAGACTGACAGAAGAAGGAATCTGAAGCTGAAAGTACGTGGATATGGGAATGTCGATGGTGGGCATTGTTTTTTAAATGTTTTGCTTTGCCAATAAGAAGTGTGAGAAAAAATAAAACTAAGAAAAACTCAGATTTAAGTGAACAGCACTGCTTATCCAGACATTTTTCTGTAAAGGAGTATAGAAAAACAGAACAATATAAGATCTTAGCTATGATTCTTCTCTGCTTTGTGTTTGGGATGTTAAACAACTTGTTAAACCAGAACTTGTATCTGAGAGACCTAGCTGGTCTGGAAGACTTCCAGTAGTTAAAATACTACTGGTTTCTAATAAGTGTCCTCTTCCTTCCTGTTATCTCTGCCAAACAAAACACACACAAAACTGTCAATTTCTTGCTTTGGTTCTACTTCTAGTTTTTATTAATTTTGACTTTGCAGAGGAAGCACATTAACTTACTCCCTGCACAGTTTGCTTATGTTGTTAGTTTGAAATATGTCCTTGCAATTCACTAACACTCAATATTTGAGTATCATTCTTTTTATGTATTCTTTTTATGAGTATCATTCTTTTTATCATTGGTTTTAACAAAAGTACCTTTGTGTTTTAACAATGGAAACACTACAGAGTTACATAATCCATTAGAAGTTACTAGCATGCTTTGTGGCACTGCCCATACATTATATCCTGTTTTGTTTTGGTGTCTTAGCAGGACCACAAGAAAGCAGATAAAAGAAAGAGAAGTAGATATTCCTAGAGAATTAATGAGTTTTGAGTGTAGCCTGTGAGGAGAGACAGAGAAGGTACAGAAGATGGAAAAGCTGAAATTAAGATATTTTGAAGAGTTTCTTTTCTTTAATGTCTCGTTGTAGATAGATATTCCTCTGTCATCTGAGTAATAAATACACTGGATGGGATTGCTTTCAAGATTATGCATTCATTCTTATCCCTCTTGCAAGGTAAAAGTGAAGCATCACTAAAATTAGGAGCGGAGGTGTATATACATGAACAACATGAGTCACACAGAAGGATTATAGCAGGGCTGGAACTGGAATGTAGCTCTGCTTATGCTGTTATTTTCCAAGTGTGACTGCTGCATTTAAAATCTCCTACAAGACCATACCTTGCATTACACTCTCAAAAGCTGCTAGGAGTTCAGTCTCTTGAAACACATGATTTAATATAACATCAGAACACTTGAAGAAACATTATTTTTAAAACTTATTTATCTTGACACGAAATGTAATGAAATGAATAAATGTTGCTCAACAACCAAGTAATGGTTTCATGCCTGGGAGAAAGGAGAAGACCTTCCTTCTGAACATTACTTTTTTCCCCCTTTTGATTTAACACAGAGCTGGGAATTATTAGCTGTTAGAGCCGTAAACTGGTTTTCAAAACTTCTAATGGTCGGTAGAGAGAACTTATGAAGATCATTTTAAGTATAAAGATTTTCTGTTTGCTACGATAAGCTACATTTTTATAGCTGAACATGTTTTCAAATACAAGACTTACTTCTTCAGAAGCTCCTAAACAGAAAAATACGAGAGACATGAACACATATTCACATATTTTTGTTTGCATGATAGTTTGTCCAAGAACATAAGTGAATTCTCTGTGCTTACAAGAGGTATGAAGGCTGTTGTCTTTTTACTACTGTCTTTTATTATTCACCTTGTTTTTGGTACAGTTGTCCACAGGGAGAAATACAAAGTTTTGCTTGTTTGTGGAAACGCAAAGTGATTCTAAAGGTGACAAAGAATGGCCTTAGCGGATGCTCTACTTGATTTCTGAGTTAAAGAAATGAAACTAGGTTAATTTGTGGAATTAACTTTATTCTCTGAATCATCTATCCAACTTCTGCTACAGTAAAGTACTCTTAGATGGAAGGTTCTTATGCACATTTTTAAGGGTCTTTTAAAAATGCATCAATATTCTTTGAAGAGTTATTGGCAAATAACTTGTTAAAATATAAAAGTTGTATCCGTGTAAATATTAGTAGTCTTCCTTTTAGTTTGGTAGTAAGTAGTTTGCACAAGTTTGTTCTGTGTAATTAACTGAAGATATACTGTAATATAGTGTAATTCTCAATATCTGCATTTAAGAGATGGTTGAACATGTACCAAAATCTTCCTGCTGTGCCTAGGTGACGTTGTTTTTACCACTCTTCGGTGAAGATCAGCAGGGTGCAACTCAAGTATTACAAGATGTTAATGATTACAATCGGAGATTCTCAGGACAACCCAGATCTGTAAGTTTGGGGTAAATTTGGGTGGAGGTCAGTAATTTCAGGGGATGATTAACAGCATTTGGATAACTTTTTTTCCCCACTGAATTTTCTATATCCGATATATACAGACTACACAGGTTTTTCTTAGGACAGGCATATCCAACCTGCAGGTCACTTACGATGCTGGGCAGCTAGTAATGCATCCTCACAAGATCTTAGAATTTTGATATTTATTATGTGATTGTAGGCAGTGTTTTTCATAAGTTTGTTGTGCATAGCTTGAGTGTGGACTGCAGAAGTGACAATGGAATGCTGTGCAGGGCTGGACACAGGGCAGTGCTAACTCTGCCTCCTCTGCACACCCTACATACTCAGCCAAATTAAAACCCACATGTATTCTACATTACATGTGGTTGTGCAGCCTAGGGAGAAAAAAGCAGTAATTGCTGATGATACTATTGCAACCTACCAACACATGTGCCTATGAAGACACACATTTCTTGTTATTAAGCTGACATATAAGTTGTCTTGTTTAATTATTGAGCTTGGGCTTGTGTTATTTCATAAAATAAATTGGTATGTTAACACTTTCACTGTGGAAGAGATATCCAGAATACTCATGCAGTACTGACAAATCCTGTAATTTTTAACATCTCAAAAAACTCACAAGAAGTCTGTAATATCTTGTGATTTTTTTAAAATTAGTTTTGCAACTTGTATGTAATTAGCGTTTCTGCTGTTCTGACCACGTGGGGGCAATGTACAAGTAATAATCACCTTGTGTCAGTTTGCTAATCCAAGCATGTTGAAGGGTGGTTTAAAGAGGACACTCGTTATACCTGCATTTATTCATATATATATATATATATATATATATATATATGTTCATATATATATTTATTTGTAGATTAATGGAATCATGCATTTAGCAGCCACCTTTTTTTTTTTTTTTTTTGCATGAAAGTAACACAATAAGTTAAATGTTTTATGATAAAGTCTACAATACAAATAAAAGGAAAGTACAAAAGAAAAAAAAAGTATGTATTTCAAAATATTATAACTAATGTATATTAAAACATTGTTATATACATGCAGTATATTTTATATGTGGCCCAAGACAATTCCTCTTCATTCAGAGTGGCACACGAAAGTCAAAAGGCTGGACATTCATGCCTTAGGAAATCCATGCTGATATGGTTAACAGAGTTACAGAGCCATAAAATAGTTTGGACTGGGAGGGACCTTAAAATCCATCCAGTTCCAGTCGCCCTGATTTGGGACATGCACCAGATCAGGCTGCCCAGGGCTCCGTCCTACCTGGCCTTGAATGCCTCCAGGGATGGAGTGATTAAGTTAGATAAGTTAAATTAAGATGGCTTGAAATATACTTACTTGTAATATCTTTGTGGAAATTTCTATTTCTGTTGTGAACAAGAATTACTAAAAAAGCCTTGGATTCCCTTTTCCTGTGTTAACCTGTTCCTTGAAATGTAAGTCCTTACTCTGAAAGGATTTAATAACCAGTAAAAATGCTTAATGAAATAAATGAGCTCCCTCATTATTATAATCATGCTCCCTTGATTAATCTCTTTAAACTGATCAGAAGAATCTGAAGTTCTACTGTGCCTTTCTTCAGATTTCAAGCTGTATGCAGTTTTGATTTCTATTTTTTTCCCTGCTAGGCTATATTACAGTGTGTATTTAGACCTCTGAGTGAAGGAAGCAGGATTTTTTTTTTAATAAATAGCTAAGAGACATGGTTGCAGTTCTGTGAACTTGAGAAACTCAACCTTTGACTTGAGAAAGTCAACTTGTCTTTGTGCATGTCTTGACTCGTGAAATGAAACGCATGTATGTGGGTGCCAGTAACTTTGATACACTGCTTGTCTTCAGCTGTTCATTGGATTTGGATGTACGTATGTAATGGTTTTCCAACCTTTTGGCTTGTCTGGGCTGCACTGAGTAAAGATAAATTGTCTTGGGCAGCATATACGTAAGTTACTCTGAAAGTAATTGTTCCTATTTACTTCCATGGAAACTGCAGTAGATACAAAGAGCACAGTAACATTATTTGATAGAGCGTGTTCTCAGCTATGAAACACTATTTTTCAACACAGTCACCACCATTAGCTGTGCATTTCCGCCAGCAGTGAACAAGAGGCTGCGTACCGTGCTCAGAACAATCTGCACCGGCTGAGGTGACCCACTGCTGCTGTCACCACTGCTGAAATGCACCACTTGCTGCCTCAGTGTGCTTACATCCACTGTTTGGTCTCCATAATCCTTCACAAGTGTTGGTGAATGTCAGTGGGTGTCATTTTTTCTGCATGGAGGAATTCAGCGACACAGCTTTGCTTCATATGCGCTGCATGTCAGAGTGCCCCTCTGCTGCCCTCTGTCACACAGCAACAGTATGTAGTGGAGCGTTGGTGGGAAAGTTCACCCTCTGCTGCCATAATGTCAGTGTCTGCCTCTGATGTCATGGGTCAATATAATAAAAAGGAGGCATTACTTTTGGTGCAGCTGTTGGAATAATGAAACATTGCTAACGGAAAAATTACAGTCCAAAGAGACAAATGATTTTTGGTTTGTGTTCTAAAGCATTTGATCCAGAATAGAAAGAAACTAATTTTCAGGCTCCAGTAGACTTCTCTGGGAGCTGTATGTCTACCAGTCAATAAACTGTCCTGGATTATCCCAGAAGTCTGCATTGAGACCCTAGCCTGGGTTAGATATTTTGTTTTCTAATTATACGTGATGTGTTGCCTTAACCACATGTAACATCCCTTTCTTAAGTGCTTTTTCAGTGTTTTGATATCCATTTGATATCATAGCTCTGTATACAGTAGAAATTGATTCAGTGCGAAAAATACCTATTTTCTCTTGTGCAGTCTCTCACTTAAGATGATAGAACTATAGTATGGAAGGATCCAGGGATGGATTAATTTAAAGGTTCTTTAGTTTATGTGAAAGTTTGATCCTCTGTTAGCTTTTGAGAATCACTGTGTATCGTGAGGAAAGATGTGTCATGTTTCTTTCTGAAGAAATACAATCTCTTTTACCTTAACTATTTTTTTTTCCCCCTAGGAATCCGTAGTTTTCTTCTCTTCTCATAAAAACTTCAGTAACAGTTTGCTATTTGTTGTCTCTGTGTAGTTTGTTTTCATCCACTGCTTTCCCTTCTTAATAGATAATGTACTTAGTGACAAATGAAATGCATGTTTTACTCTGAGCAATATAGCTTAAGGCTGTTGCTTGAAAACATAAGTGTTCTAACAGTGACATATAACACAGCAAAGTTAAGTCTAGAGCGTTTGGTCATTTTTCTTGCAAATGAACAGATACCTAAGCTGTAATGCAGTAATAGAAACTTCACACTGAAACTCTTGGCTTGTTTCTTCATAGATTATGGAAAGAATTATGGATCTGCCTACTCTGCTGCGGCATGCATTCAGGGAGATGTTTTCTGTTGGAGGCCTCTTCTGGATGTTTCGCATCAGAATATTCCTCTGTTTGTTTGGAGCCTTTCTCTACTTGGCGTCACCTCTGGATTTTCTTCCTGAAGCTCTTTTTGGAATTCTGGGGTTCTTGGATGATTTCTTTGTCATTTTCCTTCTGCTGATATATATTTCCATCATGTACCGAGAAGTGGTGACCCAGCGTCTGAATAGATGAAATGGCTGAAGGTCAGCTAGACACAGAGATGGAATGTTTCAAAAAGAGAACCATGAGTATGGAATAGCAAGGTGCCTGTGTACAGTTTCAGTAGTTATAATTCCATAGCTTCTAACTGATCGTCTTATACAAATATGAAAGGTTAGTGTGTGGTGATGCTTAACTGGAATCTTTAACTTTTGTATTACGTATGCTTCATAATGATGACGTCAGTTTTATAATGTAATGAACTGCCTTCATCTGCTTATACCTGAGGTACAATTGTATGTGATCAAAGCAGAAAACACCTCATTTGAAGTGACTTGTGAAAAAAGGGGTTCTAGCAAAGGACTTAAAGGAAAACGAATATGTTCGGTACTCTAGACATGCATAAAGAAATTGAAAACTTCTTTGCAGGACAATTATCAATATGTTTAATGTCTCACTGTTGTGGGCTTTTAAATAAAAGTAGCTTTGTGTATCTCTGTGGAAGAAATCCAATGACCACAGTACCATTACCACCCTGCAGTTTGTCCACTTGCTTCACAGAAACAAGGGGAACACCTCAGTATTGCTTGAGCTGCACTGTGTACAGTTGCATGCAATTCATACAGTTTTATTTTCTTATTTTATAACAAAGCACTCGCCATGTGATCTACAAGGAGAAACCTATGTAATACACGCCGGACTGCCTACTGCTCTGTTTTTTGATGGGAGCATGTTTTTCTTTTCTTCTGAAACTTGTTTATTTAGTCGGTATGTATCTTGAAAGTGTTTTTTTCTAATGCAGCTTTGGGTCAGTGCAGTGTATCTTCATTGGGCATTTGCATGCCTTAGGCTGCATTAAGCATTTAGGCAGTAGAAAGGACCCTCAGATTTTAGGCAGTGATTATAGAAGTCACAACTGGATGTTTACACTACGGAACTTTACCAGATTGTACATTTTCAACACGAATATTAATCAACTTAGATATGAGGCGTTTAATTTTCCCTTGGGGTTTTCTTGTTTGATTGACTGATTTTGATGTGGGTAGAGGGCATTTTGAATTAACTTGAAAAAGATCTTTGAGTAGGGACCACAAAAAAAAAGTCCTGAAGATGTTTTCAAAATGACTGGGCTATTGATGATCCAATCCCTAAAAGTTTGTGGGGGTTTTTTTGGTTGGTTTTTTTTTTTAGGGGGCTGGTAGAGAGGTGTTGTTTTGGTGGTTGTGATTTTTAACTTCAATTTTTTGGGAGAGGGAACGGGGTGTTCTGTTTTTTGGTTGGTTTTGATTTTTTATTTTCTGTTGCATTTCAGTATAGGCTATCAGAGCTACAGAATTCATTTGAAAATATTTTCATTTTATGAAAGGGAATGTCACTAGAAAGCTCAAAAATATTCTGTATCTGTGTAAATTTTAGTTAGAAAACTTAGGACAGATAATTAGTTAGGAAAGATAATTGTCATTTTACTTTAACTTCCTGAGTACTTGAAAGACTGTGGTGAGACAGGTGATTCTTTGCATGTTTACATATTATTCTATGAGACTCAAAATGAGAGGGACCTTCTCATGGCTTCTCTGTGTTGCCCATGTAGGCACCTTTCCACAGCTTCTAGTACCTAGGCTGAGAGAGCTGGGGCTGTTCAGCATGGAGAAGAGAAGACTTCTCTTCTTCTTCCAGGTAGACCATATAGTGGCCTTTCAGTAACTGAACGGGTCTGTAAGGAAGAAGGGACAGACTCTTCAGCAGAGTCTGCTGTGATAGCACAAGAGGAAATGGTTTCAAACGAAAAGAGGAGGGATGTATGGGATACTCATGAACTTATGTAAAGCAAGATAATAATTTAGAACGTTAGATAAGGCAAGATTTTGTAGTTTTGCTATAGGCAGTATTTTTGTTGTTGTTTTTTCCCCAAGAGATCCAGCTGAGTGCAAACTCCAGAAGGTATTTTTAATCAAGTTAATTTAACACCTCTGGAGTTTGGCTTGTGGGTCTACCTAGAGCGTCAAGTGAACTGCTTCTGTAGGACAACTGGAGTCCGTTCATAGAATCTGTCAGTCTGGTAACTCCCACGTGTTTATCCTTTAATTGTGGTTATATTTTTTGTCATGACTCTCTAGATCTAGAGTGGACAGAGGTGCATGTGAAACTGCTTGGTGATTTGTTTTCAGTGAGCTCCCTAATTCTACATGATACTGTGAAGAAGTTCATGGAGAAATGACCTAAGGAATCTGTTCCTGAAAAACAGACCTTTTGTACCTGAAAGCATGTACTTGCCACATCCACACAGATACATAAGGTTTACCTGTGTTCTGTTCACCATTTTTCTGCTAGCAGAATGATTTCACTTGGAGTCCTCTGCTTACTTTTGAGTGTTGAATAACATTGTAAGCTTTAATTCAGCAGAGTAAACACTTGACAGAATTAGGACCATCCTGTCTTTTCACCAGGATGTACTTTTTCTTTTTCCCTCTGGTTCTTCAAGACACTAGTGAACAGTATTATGGCTTGCTCAGGCTTTTCTTTTTTTCAACAGTTGCAGTGTGAAGCTGCAGCTGACCAGCAGTGCATGGCTGCTGCTCCTCCAGGCAAATCTGAACTAGCTCTAGGTTCGCTGCCTTGGGTGCTGCTATCATATTCAGCTTAATTGAAGCTGCAGAGCTCCCAAGAAGCTGGAGGTAAATACATGACCATTTAATATTCCTGAAGTATACACTTACAAGTTATTCTGGTGGCAATGTTCAGTGTAAGTGCTACACCTGGGCACTAGCTTCAGAAAAGAAATACATGATGCTTTGAGGGGAGCAAACATCGCTGCGGTTTTGTTGTGTGGAATGGAGCTAATGTCTCTAAGAAAGAGGAGGAGAAAGGCTTTAGTAGAAAAGAAGCAATATGGGGGAAAATAGAATTCTTCAAAGATTCTTAAGACTTCACCAAAATCTGTGAAATATTTCATTATTCCAGCAATATTAACAAAAAGGAAAATCTGTGTTCAGAATTCTTGCCGAATAACTTGTAGCATCTCAAGGCCTAATGATAACCCTTATCACAAGCACTGCATAACACAGTCAGTTTCATGTTGTTTGTGACTCGCACCATTGATGCCTGGGAGGATTGGGCAGAGTGGTGTAATTTGGGGATGCAATTTTGCAATAGGTTTTGTAGAACTGTAAGAGACCTGTGTGTTACACTAGATTTTTAAGACAAAAAGATTTAAACCTACTTCTTGTTATTTTAATGATAATAAATTGGTATTAAAGTAAGAGATTCTCTTGATTTATTTTACTGCCTTTCTGTCTGTGAATGTCTTTATTCCTCCTTTTCTCCTTCACCAGCCTGCTGACAGCTCTGCTACAGTCTTGATTGATTATTATGTTATGTCTGGACATCCTGTCCACGGGCTGTAACTCTTTCTAGCTTTGTTGTTACCAACATGGGAATTACAATCTCAGAGGCCTTAGTCCCAGAATTATATTGGTGCATTAAATGTCTTCTCCTTGAACAATCCGGCTGATGTCTTCAGGTCCTCCTCATCCCTTCTGGATGGGTTTTTCTCATCCCTCAGTCTCTACTAGGGCAGTGTCATAGGACCTAAACTTTCAGGATGCTGAGTATAGACAATTATTAAGCATGTTCAGATATCAATTCTCCACACAAACAAAGCATGAAGTAGGAAGAGGAGTGGCTCATTAGTGAGCTAAACTGAAGAAAACATAACTTAGTCTCTTTAATTTTAAAGGCTGGTGTGACACAAAGAAGTGGGTGTGAATGGCCTGTGCTGCAATCCTTTACCTTCATTTCATGAATGGTTCCTGGCTATTGGTAAGATATGATCTATTCTGATAAGAGATGGGCCAAGTTAGGCCAAGGTCTTCTCACAGAATCACAGAATCACCCGGGTTGGAAGGGACCTCAAGGATCATGTAGTTCCAACCCCCCTGCCTAGCAGGGCCACCAAACGTACACATTCAGATCAGGTTGCCCAGGACCCCGTCCAACCTGGCCTTGAACACGTCCAAGGACGGGGCATCCACAACCTCCCTGGGCAGCCCGTTCCAGGGCCTAACCACTCTCCTTGTGAAGAACTTCCCCCTAACATCCAACCTAAATCTTTCCTCCTTCAACTTGGATCCATTTCCCCTAGTCCTGCTGTTGTCAGCCCTTCTGAAGAGTTTACTCCCCTCCTGGGTGTAGGTTCCCTTCAGGTATTGATAGGCTGCAATGAGGTCACCCCGCAGCCTTCTCTTCTCCAGGCTGAACAAGCCCAACTCCCTCAGCCTGTCCTCATAGGGGAGGTGCTCCAGCCCCCTGATCATCTTAGTCGCCCTCCTCTGGACCCTTTCCAAGATCTCTATGTCTTTCTTGTACTGAGGGCTCCACACCTGGACACAGTACTCCAGATGGGGCCTCACAAGAGCCGAGCAGAGAGGGACAATCACCTCCCTGTCCCTGCTGACCACCCCTCTCCTGATGGAGCCCAGGATCCCATTTGCCTTTCGAGCTGCCAGAGCGCACTGCTGGCTCATGTTCAGTCTCTCGTCCATCAGGACCCCCAGGTCCTTCTCTGCCGAGCTGCTCTCAGGGACCACTCGCAGAGTCACAGAAAGTAAGGTTGGCAGGGACCTCTGAGTCCATTGGTTCCAACCAGTGCTCCATCAGAACTCCCAGAGCAGAATGCCCAGGCCCCCGTCTCTCCGAGGAGAAGGCTCCACAGCCTCTGTGGGGAGTTTGTACCGCTGCGGAGTCACCTGCACAGAAGCGCTTCCTCATGCTCACAGGAAACCTCCTGTGTTGCTGAGAGCATACTTTGAGCTTTTCCTTTTGTCTGCTGCCTCTATATTTGCGTTGGGAAGATTGGATGGACGCAAGTCAGACCAAAGCTGCCAGGGTAGATGGTAATTTTAGAAGGGTTTGTGCCATTTGTATGCCCCTGCTCTGTGTTACATTGGAAGTCTATCAAGCATAGCTACATTTTCTTCATGCCCAGGTAACTTTGTATTTTGTCTTAGGAATTTCTGTTGTAACTCTTCGGGGTTGTTAGGAGTATACTTTTGGGTGGGAAAGGGCGCTCAAAATATCTACTTTTGTGATAACTGTTACTTGTACACTATGGCCCTCCACGAGAACATCTAAATATCTTGTAGCTCTTTTTTTTTTTTTTTTTTTTTTTTTTTTTTTTTTGCTAAAACAAGGAAAAAAAGGCACATGGATTATGAAAAATCTACAAAATGCAACATTGGAGGGACTAGCATTTTGTCTAGAACACAGACTGACGAAGATGCAATAGCTGTCTTTAAATACATTAGAAAGGATCTGTACATCTGATCCTATCTGTACATCTGTACATCTGATATAACTGGGACAAGTGACAGTGATCTTGAATTGTAGCAAGTGTAGCTTAGATTAGAAGAAATTTGCTAAAGACAACTGAGGACTTATCTGGGACTGTGGTGGAACCTCTTGATGAGGGGCTTCTAATAGAAGATTAGAAGATCTGGCAGAACTGTCTTCTGTGCTGTTTCTTCATCCTTGGAAAGGAGTAGACGAATGAAAAGACGTCTCTGTTTCCAAGGTTGCCAGCTCTGGGCCTTACTAGAGATGAGATTAGTTGAGTCTTGATCTAAGTTTGTCTTGGGTTTCTAACTAACCTATGTGCATCAGCCAGCAGACCTGACCAGTGCACCCCAGGAGTCTTGCTTAAAATCCCTGAGTTAACGATATGGCTTCACCTTATTTCAGTACACCTTAATGACTATTTACAATAATATTAAATTTTGATTAAAAAAAAAAAAAAAAACAAAAAACAAACAAAAAAAAAAAAAACAAAAAAAAAAACAAGCAAACAAAATAGAAACAAAAACATTGTTTGTCCCGTATTTTCCAGGAATACGTGACTAACAGATCAATTGGTAGGAGGGAAGGGAAAAGGAACACAATGAAGTCAGTAACACAATATTAACACAATATTAATCAGTTGCTCATTGCTGGCAGGTAATTAATGAGGAACCATGGGTATGTGAGGTGTTACTAATAAATTGGCTAGAATATGCTAAATGGAAAGCTGTTCAGCTTCACACTAGCATATGTTGTGCTTCACAGTCAAAAATATATTTCTCCCTCCTCCCTGTTTCTCCCTTCATTCTGGAAATTTTCTTTTCCTAATATAAAGGTGGGGAAGTAGCAAAACAAGAAAATAACCTGTGCCATATTGTATACAACACAAGCATCTATGGATAAAACGTATTTTTGTGAGAGAGTCTTGTCATCCTTTAGGAAACATGTTACTCTCTTAAAGTGCAAGGTCACACTTGTGTCTTTCTTGCCTTCTTCACCATTGCAGTAGCTGGGTGCCAGGGGCTGTGCTACATTCATGTCCGGGCTCATCTCAGGAGCTCATGGGATCCTGTTTAATTCAAGTTGACTCAAACTAGCTATTAGTACATGCCTCATTGCTGAGCTACTTTAAGTAGAGATGATGTTTTTATTCCCACTACAGTTTTCAGAGTTCACCATACAAACCTGAAGTTGCTCCAGGCTCACTTCTCTCTTCTCTGTTGGGTTTTACATCTTTCCCATCTGACTTTTTTTTTATTTTGGTGCACAATAAACAATGAAAAGCAAGTTTTGATTAATCACTCCTACCTCACCTCTTAGCGCCTTGCCCCTGGATGTCCAGCCTACCTCTCAGCTCGCTGGCTCTGGGTCAGTACAGAAGGTGAGAAAGGTGCCTTGTTAAAAAGTCAAGCGTAGCAGCCTGAAGAAGACAGTTCAGAACAGCCTCATCCTCCTTGCTCAAGAAGCTGGGCACCATTGATCTGCTGTCTTCCCCCCAGAAAGAATGAAAAACATTTTTCAGGTTTTTGGTTCAGGTTTCTTGATAATGCCCCTGGTTTGATTACTGCAAGAGAAGAAAATAACAGAAAAAGCACAGCAGTGTAGTGGACATGCAGTTACCAGGGCTCTATTTGCACCTGGGAGGCTGGAGAAAAGCCCGTGTACTGAGGAGCTACTGCATACAGTTTCAATCATGTCTGGAGAGACTCGTTTTCTCTGTCATTGAGGTTGTCGAGTGCAAGTCTTTTCTTGAAGAAAAGCAAGGCATTGCTTTGAAAATTATCTCTGTGGTGTTAACCTTTATTTACACGTAGGTATTTTTTGAGTCCCCAGGGTTCTTGTTCTCATGGTTTTGTTCACAGCTCCCATAAGGAAAAAAAAAAAAAAAAAAGCTCAGTATCAGAAGAAAAGGAGAACTCAGTAATTATATTGCAACTATAAGAGGCTCAGAAAAAAAAGGGGGGGAAAAATCAACAAGAACAACAACAATCAAAACCTAAAATATGTAAGACATGATTAAAAATCACGAGGAATATCAACATGGTATCATTAAATCCACTTATTTGGAAATCCCATGAACAGCCCATTCTGTCTGCTAGGAAAACCCTTTCCAAGATTCAGATCTTTGCTGTTGATTCATTTCATCTTGCTCGGAAGAAAGAGGTGATCAGTAACAGTAACTTTATTTGTGAGATCACCAGCAGAAACAGCCATGTGGGCCTCAAAGCAGCAGATATTTTGCTGTTTTGCCTTGTGCTCCACTTTTTATCTCACTGAGCCTCTTACTGATTCACACTGCAGATGCAACAGTAGATTTGGGGGCAGAAGGACATAGGGAATAGCTGAAATGCTTCCTCATAAGCCAGGAGATTACACAACAAGAGTTTCATTGCCAAGGAGCAGGAGGAGGCAAGTAGATCCTTACCCTTTGGAGGAAGAGGAGAGGCAGGAGAACACCAGCCCATCAGAAAATGGCTGAAAGAATAGCTCTGGGGAAGGTATACTCCCTTGCAAAGGCTGGGGAGACCAAAGCATAGCAGAGATCTCTGGTGATCCCATGAGTACAGTGAGACAGTCAGAAAACAAAGCACGCAGCAACAACCTGGGTACCAATGTTGGTGAGTAGATGGGGGGAAGTTACAGCTAGGCACTGCCCCACTGCACCCTTAGTGCTGCACAGGCACTTCACCTCATCACAGAGAGGCTAGCTGATCCTAGGCTAAGCTGTGTGATCTGGCCCAGAACCTCTGTGAGCTGGTGAGGTTGTTAGAGTCATAGAATCATAGAATCAGAATCATTAAGGTTAGAAAAGGCCCCTAAGACCATCTAGTCTAAACATCTATTTGTCACCAAGTGAGCGAGCCTTCTCATGCTGTGCTCCTTAATGGATCTGCAGAGCTCTCCAACCTTCCGTACGGCTTTTTTGAGG